AGACATGACACCCAGATAATCAACCCACAAATCGCTCACAGTTCTCGAACCTACTCAAATGCCAAAAGCTTGATGAAATAAATAAGTCTTCAAATCCTATCAAATCCTAAAAACGGACGAAACACGCTTCAATCGTCTCTCCTTGGCCTGTTATATTGAAAATGTATGTTTTAAAATTTGCAGTATGATGTTATCTATTCCTAAATTATGGCTCATCATAGACCAGCTAACCACGCTAGCTAATGCCACTATCGTCAGTGGAAGACCGCTAACGTTAACATTAATGAGCTTGGAAACCACAATGAACTTTTTCTGCCTAAATAAAGTAATGATTACTGTATTTATAACTAGCATATCTCTAGTTACAGTCCCTGCATTGTAAAATGTACGTTAGACTTGCGAGGAGCGAACATTTAGACATAGAGAAAAAGTACCAAACGTATCTTGTGCAGAAAAGTTAGCTTTTCTTTTACACGTGTGTGAAATTCAACAATATTTAACAAAAAAAAAAAAAAAAAAAAAATCGGCCGATATATCGGATTTTTAAACCCCAAAATATTTGTGTCGGTATCGGCCTTCAAAATCCTTTATCGGTCGGGCTCTACTCCTCTGTATCTGTCTTCACCAGACGCACGTCAGTAGCGGCACTGAACGCAGATCCACAACAGAACCGGAAGACAATACAGTGCTGAATAAAGAATAAAGTAGATTTTGTTATTTTGTATGTTAGATTGTGGCCAAAACTGGTACTGCACTTAAATTCAGCAAATTCTTCTCCGTTTTCAGCCGTCTCCATCTTTCAAAGGCATCTCCTACACAAATCCTTGTTTTATTTCGGACTTTGTCAAGAAGTATTTCGGAATCATAACGAGGTTGTTTTTTGGATTCGTAACGTTAGACTTTTTTTTTTTTTTTTTTTGTCTAACCTTACGAGTAGCTTTAGGGCTGCAGCTTCTCTTTTTAAATGACGATCTACTGTTGTCAGTGATGCAAGTATTTAAAATGAACATGATTTCAATGTCTAGTGACATATCAGGGCCATTTTATGATTAATTGAAATGCATTTCTTACATACGGTTCCTTTAACTATTAACAGATTAACAGTCGAAGCTATGGAGATAAAGTCTACTTTTAAACAAACTAATTCATCGTCAACTTCATCTGTGCAGACTCTGAAAACACTATTTCATTAATAAATAAATAATGTCTCCTTGTCATTTTTTTAGACACATTCACAATCATTATCATCATATAAATGGTGAATAGGCTATATATTCCTCCCCAGTATATATTTTAGTCATTAAAGTAATATAAACGTGCAATTACTCGACTAATGGCTTAAATGAGTGACCACTAGTTGACTTTAGTCTGGGCAGCCCTAATCTGGATATAAACGGTAGACTACATGTACGTTTTTCTCTTGCATTACAATAATGTTACACGTTAAAATTAACAACGGATTTGTACGAACATTTAAGTTGCGCATACGGCATTTTTTTTTTTTATAATAGTAAAGTTATAATGAATCCTAAAACAAACTTTGCTTTCCTGATTTTGTTCAAAATTTATTATTATTAAATTTAGGTTCAAATTTATTTTTAATCATGAAAATGTTAATTAGTAATTCACATCTCATTATACTACTATGGCTAACGCCTTCAGTTTGCAAGCGAACAGCTTAGCCTACTAGCATAGCATAGTGTTAATTTGTTTTTTTTTAAGGCTTTTTTAAAAGATGTCACGAAAACGCGGGCAATATGATCCTGCTTGACGTCGACTTACGATTGTGACCGTTAACAACGCAAAATGTGATTGGTTGCTACACTTTTTAGTCTAGCGGTCTCGTCCTGTTTCATTCTTATGAAAAATATGCTGCAAAACACAGACTGTCCTTGACAGCTAGAGGACTCAGATTACCCGTGCGGTCTCGCTCAGGTGTGTAGACGCCACAAAACACTACAGCTAATAATGCAGTGTTCAAAGTCGGCACAATTGAGGAGTGATTGTTGCGTAGCGAGTCGGATTTCATGGAGTATTATGGACGCTTTCCCTCCCATGCCCTGAATCAGTAGATTCAAAGATAAGTGTGCAATTGAGTTTTTTTGTTTTCTCACCATGTGACCTGTAAATACGAGACCTGTTTTATTACGCGACGAGCGCAAGAGACGCCTCGCTTGGGTTTTGTTATATCCATGCGGTGATCATAATGATCCCTGCTGATCTGGCTTTATGTATTTCATGTAAACAACGGTGTTTGGTTTGCTCAAACAGCCAGTGAACAGAGCATGCATTACATATGCAGAGACACGTGCAGGTGTTCATTTATTTATTGTATGTGCTTGTATTCACCTAGCTTAGCTTCACATCTCTGGCCTAGTTAATGCCTGCTATCTGCCTTTTTGATCTAATCACTCAGATGACATGCATAACACATCAATCGTGTGTGTTCGTTTATGTATGTATGTGTATGCATATATTAGGGCTGTCAAGCAATTACATTTGTTTATCGTATTAATCCTACTTTAAATTTGAGGAAATGAACCCCAAAATATGATATAAAATCATTATTTTTTTGAAGGAGATTACCATCAATAAACTTCACAAAAAGTAGCTTTAGAAAAAAAAAATTTGAATATAAACTTTAAGGCTTCAACAGAGTAAATATTGACAGGATTTGCATTTTTGGGTGAACCACACCTGCTATTAGGTTTTTAATTAATATAGAAAAATGTTTTTTTTTTTTAATGAAATTTACTCTAAATAAGAATCTTGATTAAATTCTATTTGTTGATGAACTGCTGATTCATTCAGGAATACAGTAAATTGCTCTTTATGAAAGGACCATTAATTCATTGGTTCTTCTGGGTTCCAATTTTGACCATACTTTAGTAGGGTATGTGTTTACACATTTGTTATTAGCATCAGTAATTTATATTTTCTTATTCTCAAATGGTTACTTTAATTAGTCCTCCAGTAGTTTTTGATATGACATAAAAATTTGTACGGAGAGAGAACCATGAAATTGTACCAGTGTTCGTACACCAGTACTACTGAAATATATAAACACTCACCTAAAGGATTATTAGGAACACCATACTAATACTTATACTGTGTTTGACCCCCTTTCGCCTTCAGAACTGCCTTAATTCTACGTGGCATTGATTCAACAAGGTGCTGAAAGCATTCTTTAGAAATGTTGGCCCATATTGATAGGATAGCATCTAGCAGTTGATGGGGATTTGTGGGATGCACATCCAGGGCACGAAGCTCCCGTTCCACCACATCCCAAAGATGCTCTATTGGGTTGAGATCTGGTGACTGTGGCGGCCATTTTAGTACAGTCAACTCATTGGCATGTTCAAGAAACCAATTTGAAACGAAAGTAAGTAGCCATCAGAGGATGGGGACATGGTGGCCATAAAGGGATGGACATGGTCAGAAACAATGCTCATGTAGGCCGTGGCATTTAAACGATGCCCAATTGGCACTAAGGGGCCTAAAGTGTGCCAAGAAAACATCCCGCACACCATTACACCACCAACACCAGTCTGCACAGTGGGAACAAGGCATGATGATCCATGTTCTCATTCTGTTTACGCCAAATTCTGACTCGACCATCTGAAATCGAGACTCATCAGACCAGGCGACATTTTTCCAGTCTTCAACTGTCCAGTTTTGGTGAGCTCTTGCAAATTGTGGCCTCTTTTTCCTATCTGTAGTGGAGATGAGTGGTACCCGGTGGGGTCTTCTGCTGTTGTAGCCCATCCGCCTCAAGGTTGTGTGTGTTGTGTCTTCGCTGCATACCTCGGTTGTAACGAGTGGTTATTTCAGTCAAAGTTGCTCTTCTATCAGCTTGAATCAGTCGGCCCATTCTCCTCTGACCTCTCGCATCAACAAGGCATTTTGGCCCACAGGACTGACCCATACTGGATGTTTTTCCCTTTTCACTCCATTCTTTGTAAACCCTAGAAATGGTTGTGTGTGAAAATCCCAGTAACTGAGCAGATTGTGAAATACTCAGACCGGCAACGCTCAAAATCGCTTAAATCGCCTTTCTTTCCCATTCTGACATTCAGTTTGGAGTTCAGGAGATTGTCTTGACCAGGACCACACCCCGAAATGCATTGAAGCAACTTCCATGTGATTGCATTAATGAGAAATTTAACTGGTGTTCCTAATAATACTTTAGGTGAGTGTGTGTGTGTGTGTGTATATATAACCGCTTCATATATTTATATGTAATGCATACATATTACCTCCCTGGTAAAACATGATCTCAGGGTCACGGACACTAAAATAAGATTCGTTAATACCAGCTGTTCATTGGGCCTCTGGAAAAAACATGACACAAAGTACACAACCCATTAAGTTGACTTGGGCTAATTAAGTTTTCCTAATGAACATTTAATTCATATTGTGTTTGTCGACGTTCACAAACGCATCAATATAAGAGTGGTCTGAGAGGGTGAGAATTATGTTTTTTTGTTTTTTCACAACCATCATCCATACAAAGTTCATCTTAGCCATTGCACTGATTAACACACGCCTTCACTGAAGCTTGTCCAATTATTGGCATAGTCTTCATTTACCATTAAAACTATTTTTATAGGGCGGCTGTTCCACATCTATCCTGTATGAGAGTTATATGGGCTTCCAGCTCACCATCAATAATTAATTGGACCATGGGGTGTTTGTCATATTGATACAAGCTTCCCGTGTTTAATATATACGGTCCCACAGCATCTGCATGTCTCTCCCGAGCCTCAACGGGAATATTTACGGATAAGGTGCAAGTCTAAAGCGCTCTACATCGGGCCACAGGAGGACGCTTTAAATCAGAAAAGGAGCAATGCGACTCGAGGAGGGAAATAAAGATAGTTTTACTGGCTCATAATTCATAGCCTTACAAATGCTTAAACACCGCTTTTGTGTCTTGAATACAAATCAAGAACGTTTGATCATTTTTATCTCAAGATATTGTTTTGTTCTCTGGGTTTTAGTGTGTGGTGGAGGAGGGCGGCTTCGTTCCAGATGCATTGAAGATTACATTCAAGGTACCACAAACTGCAGAACTTTTGTTGGACTTATAAGTGAAGAGTAGAGACTACAAACACTTACATTTTCAGTAGTGTGTGTGACCGTAGCCTGCATGCAACTTTGTAGTCAAATAATCAGACACAGTCTCCTAAACATTTATTTGGTTTGGTCATTTGGGCAGTTCATGTAATTGAACTGGTTTACAAACAAATTTAGCACCAAAAATATTCATATGAAGAGTTCAGATGCAAAAGCCTCTAAATGCCATTTGAAATTTTCTTCTTTAATGATGATTTTTGTCAAACTTGTAGATTTAACTCCAGTAATTTCACTTAAATAACATTTAATAGGTAATTATCATTGCCATTTAAGTGAAATCACTGAACTTAAATATACAAGTTTGACAAAAATCATCATTAAAGAAGAAAATTTCAAATGGCACTTAGAGGCTTTTGCATCTGAACTCTTCATATATACATCATATGCACATTTGACATTAACTTGTGGTTACCCAAAGTTACAAGCCACTCACTTCACTGGTCACAATTTTGGCATCGATACCATGGAGAAAATGTAGATATTTTTAATATTATCTCATAATTTGGCAGCCGATATATTAGGCTACTGTCACTTTAAGGCCTGACGCATGGTCCTAATATACTGTTTTATAAAGCAAATATACCTCTCTTTTAACCTGACCTCATCATACTCAGATTTTACTCCAGCTGACATGCCCCCACAGTGGACACACCCCCAGTGTTTGAGAGCAGAGAATGTTGCTCTTTTTTATTTTATGTGCTTGCCGTCTTTTCTTGCTGCTAGTGAGTGTTTTTACGTCAGTGTCGTGAAATATACGCTCCACAGCTGTAGGGGGAGCTATATGAGAAAACATGCGATAACAAAAGTGAAACTCACTGACAAAATGGCTAGAGTTACCAAGTTCCCCTTTAAATAAATTAGGGATCGACCGATATGGATTTTTTAGTGCCGATACCGATACCGCTTTTTTTCCCCATCAGCCTTAGCCGATGACCGATACGGGCTGCCGATTTTCTTGAGCCGATATTTGGAGCCGATACATTTTGCTCCTTCAATTTACATCTTAAAAATAACATGATGTTAACAAATGTTACAGGTCTCAATTTAATAAAAGTAACATTTAATTAACTTCAAAAATTAATATTTAACAAATAGTAAAAACATGTGAGGTAGAACAAGAAGAAGTAGATAAACAATTTAACAAATATTAAAAACAAAGTAGAACAAAAAAAGTTCAGTGCTGAAAATAAATATTTAAGCATAAATTAAATAATTACACTATTGCACACAGTAGCAGCCAGCATAATAAAGTGCACAGTGCACACTGTACTTCATTTTAAAAGAAACGAACTATATACTGCATGGTTTCAATTTTTCTACATAAAATAAAATGAGCATGTCCAGTCTCTTTATATCACTGCGATGGCGAGGGAGACGCACACCACACGCGTCCAAACCTCAGCCAGGAGAGCGCTGAATAAATCTCCCACAAAAAAACACTGAACAACGTTGGCATTACTTAATCCTATGACCAGTGTTCGTTACAGCACCCGTATGCATACTAGGGCTGTCAAAATTACTCAAATGGCGTTTGCATTTTCCCTCTAAAAAACATATTCGAACATCCCGTAGCGCGTTTTGTTGTTGACGCGCATTACGTCAATAACAGGACACATTAATGCAAAGAGACATAACTACTAGTATTAGATAGTTTATTTGAGTTTAAACATATTTAACAACGTATTAAAAAGCAAACTAAATCAACTAATGGCCAAGACCGCAGAGCTCACTCTCTCGCCTGGACTCGCTCAGGCACTCTCTCTCTCTCTCGCCCTCACGCTCTCTGCGCGTCGGTTCTGATGTTGAGTGCTGATTAAGAGTTTTGTGCAAGCAATTTAAGGTTGCGAGTGGCGACTCGTGTCCCAAATATAGCAGGCTTCATTCAGTGATTGAAGTTTCACAGTATAGAACCGACAGTGAGCGCTCCGAGCGAGCTGTGCAGCTGTGGTAACGTTATTAGTCTGCAACCGCGGGCGTGTTTTTCCATATTCAAATATTAATTTTCACCTTCAAAATTAATACATATTCGAATGTAGAATATTCATAGACAGTCCTAATGCATACTGAACGGATAGCCTACACCTTAGCTATTTGCAGCTCCCTAATACAATTGCAAGCAGTTAAGTTTTATAGACGAGGCATTCGCGTTTTCCATTTGGACCCACAAACTTGCTTAGTTGCAAGCACATAACAGTTATAGGGCGACGTGTTTCCATTTTCAAAGTGTTTGACAATATTTCAGCAGTCAAACATTTAAAAGATCCTTTGAAAGTTTAAGTTACCATTCTCGTGAAGAGCAGGTTGCACTCTGCTAGTGGGGGAGGGCGGGGCACGTGAACTGCAGCGTCTCTAGCATCACAGAGCTGCCCGTGGCCGCCTGTCTATAAATAACGCCGGGGGAAAAAAAACTATCGGCGAACGCTCAGCGGTGTATCGGCCGATTCCGATACACGTAAAAACTTCAAATATCGGCCCGATATATCGGCCGGCCGATATATCGGTCGATCACTAAAATAAATGTGTCCTTCAGTCGGTTCTGTTGCGACTCACGAGCCACTGGCTCTGTCTTCTGCGATCGAACCTTCTCGGAGATGAATTGTAATAAATCTAAACATGAATCTCTTGACTATATTAGCGATTGTGGTTCACGACTATATTAGTTTGATTTGCGTTTATGGGTGAAAGTGCAATAATTCTAATGAAATGTAAAAATACATTTTCAATTGATTTATAATTTTGAGCAAAATAATCGGGATTATCAATTTAACCATTATGCAGCATGAAAAAAAGTGACTAAAACTAGACTAAAATGCTAGTTGACTAAACGCAAACAGGATAAGGTTGACAGAATATGATAACTAGGTATGCGCAAAATATCGGCCATCATATCGGTATCGGCCGATATATGTTATTCATTTTTAATGTTATCATTATCGGCCCGATAAGAAAAGTTTGCTGATAAATAATGCATTTCCTTAATGGTTTTGAATTGCTTGAAATATGATTGGAATCACTTCAAAAAGGAAGTGCAATAGTTATGTGCAGCTCAAATCTGTCATATCGGCTGCATAAAATTATGAGAACATCATTATAATTCATTATGTGCTTCGAACTATGATGAGACTTTTGTTTTTATAATCAAGATCTTAAATATTATAAAAAAAAGGATTTATCTGCCAATATATCGGTTATCGGGTTTCAAATATAAAGAATTATCGGTTATCGGTATCGGACAATTTTCATATCGGTGAAAAAATTAATTAATAATAATTAAAAATTAGCGATTGTGGTTTCAATTAACACCATATTAGACAGGCGGTCATAATGTTTTGTCTCATCATGTTACTTGAATTTCTTTAAAGAAACAACAGTTTCATTATTTCTCTGCTACAGGTCTTAATGAGTCTTTTAATTGCAGAGAAGGGATAGACTCCGGGATTAAGTGCAATAACGTTTCACACAGCGAGCGTCCTTCCCATTCAAAAGTAGTCCTTCAGCAGAATGGGACTCTGGGTAATTGACGAGGCCTCTCCACTAATTGCGTTGTGGTGTTGCCTTCAGCTTTTAGCATCAGTCTTGCGCTCCCTTTGCGTTCGCTCACATGCTCGCGGTTTCTCTCAGCTGGTCTCGTATATTTCGCCTCGAGCAGGCTTATCACAGTCGAGGCGTTCTCGTGCCTCATCTGCATGCGTTTGAACTGTCATCCATCCTTTATCATCAGCGCCTTCCCTCTCGGTCTCTTTTCTTTTTTGTTTCTCCTCTTTCATGTCTCTTGCCTCCCTTGATTCTCCTCATCACCCACACGCCTCCTACTACACTTGTGATCTTGGAAGCACGGCAGCCACGCAGTGATTGGATGTTCGGTTGCCGCAGAAACTGCGAGAGCCGATGTGATTGGCGGTTCGAAAGCTGGTTATAGACCCTGTCGTTATTGATCCTTATGAATGGTTTATTTTCGTAGACAAAAAAAAAATGTGTGCATATATATATTAAATTATCTTCTATTTCTTTTAATAAATAATGTATTTATATTTATTTTTAAGTTTGTTAATATATTTGAATTTGTTTAATTGCAAATATTTACTAGGTTTTTTATATTTATAATAAAAATAAACAAAATTAAAAACAAGTATAAATAAATAATAAAATATTTAAAAGAAATAAAAAATTAAATGTAAAATATTTAATTAGATTTGTATTTATTTTAAATATTTTATTCATTTATTTGAATTTATTTAATTCTAAATATATAAACCTAATAAATATTTTACATGGTTTATTTCAAATGGTTGGTAAATAAAGAATTTATTTGGAATAACAGAATACATTTGAAATATAATTAAATTTTTTTTATGCTAATATTTCAGATGGCACTACCATAACATCTAGGCCCAATCAATTATTAAAATATTCTAAAAAACTTTTGTAAAATATTGAAGCTAATCACCATATTTGATACTTTTTGCATAATATAGGCACATTTTTTAAAAAGAATTTCAGCACACTTTATATTACTCTATAAAAAACACCTACATTTTTTTTCACTTGGACTGCATTTTCAATATAGGGATGCACCAAACTTTGCTTCTTCAAAATTTTTGAAGTATCCCAATTCACAAAATGCGTGAACTGCATAACTTTTGACCTCAAACAAAGTATTTAACAACAGGCAGAGTTTAATTTTACATAAACTATCCAAAACTGGAGTGATTTGTTACAGTCTGGGTCAGAGAAGTGTGCACACACACACACACGCCCTTCTCTCGGGTCTGATGTCATCCGGCCCACAGAGAACTCCTTACCTATTCATATGGATTTCATTTTCGGTTTAATTTGATTCTGATTCATCTGAAGAAGCGGCACATGTGAGTCATTTGTTTGGGAATCACAGTACCACACTATTGCATTTAATCATTTAATAGACGCTTTTATCCAAAGCGACTTGAAGAGAAGAGAGCATATTATTTAATACTTAAAGAAATAGTAATACTTATAATAATTTATTATATTAATATTAATCTTAATTGTGATGACATTTATTTAGCGAGTTTAGAGCTGGATTGTTTAAATAAAGATCGTGATTAACACAATTTTTATCATTTTCTTTTTTTAATTCATTTTTTTTCTCTTTTTATATATCTTATTTATTTATTCTAAATAATTTAAATGTAATTGATTTTATTTAGATTTATTCCTCAATTTTTACACATTTTATTTTTTAAATCTGCCCTTCCTATTTTTTATTTTTGCCTTTTAATTCATGTTTTTTTTTTTTTGCATTTAATAATTTAGCAGACACTTTTATCCAAAGCGACTTACAAATGAAGAGAAGATAGCATATCATTAATACTTAAATTATTATTAATAAGTATTAAAAGT